ACCAGAGTGCAGGGCTTACTCCCTGCACAACCAGCTAAGATCCCAGGCTGCTGAAACTGTGGGTGTACTGGTGTTTGGGGCTTATTTCCTCCCTCCCCGAGGCAGGAGCCCATTTGCCTGCTGAAGGGGGCAGGTTGGATGGGTCAGGTCAGTGACATGGTGCTAGCAAGATAGACAGATAGGGTTAGCACTGGCTCCCATAAGTGTCTAGTCATGGGGAGGGGAAGAGAAATGGCACCTGTCAGCACTTCTTTTTTTTAATTTTAAAGAGTTTATTATTTGAGAGAGACACAGCGAGAGAGGGAACACAAGCAGAGGGAGAGGGAGAAGCAGGCTTCCTGCGGAGTAGGGAGCCTGATGCGGGACTCGGTCCCAGGACCCCAGGATCATGACCTGAGCCAAAGGCAGACACTTAATGACTGAGCCACCAGGTGCCCCATCAGCACTTTTGTTCCCAGAGAAATCTGAAGGTCCTGCCCTTCCAGCACACAATCTAAGACTAGTCAATAAATTTCTGTGACACATACCCCAGGCACTTTTCACACTGCTGCTTCTGCACTGTGTCTCTGCCAAGTTAGTTATTATGCTGGGTTCGTAAGTGTGGGGACTCAGTTTCCTATTGCCCTCTGACTCTCCTGGCATTAAGCCTACTGATTTTTTAACATTCCTGGAGTTAAGCCCCACGGATTTTTTTTTTTTAATTGAAGTACAGGTGACGCACAATGGTACAATAGTTTCAGGTATACAACATAATGATTCAACAACTCTGTTATGCTATGCTCACCACAAGTGTAGCTACCGTCTCTTACCATACAACACTATTACAGTGCTATTGATTATATTATCCTGTACCTTTTAGCCCTGTGACTCATTGATTCCATAATGAAACTTTTATCTCCCACTGCCCTTTACCCATTTTGCCCAAGCCCCCCACCCCATCCTCTATAGCAACCATCAACTCTCTGTATTTATGGGTCTGTGTCTGCTTTTTGTTCTTTTGTTTTTTAGATTCCATATATAAGTGAAACCATATGTCATTTGTCTTTTTGTGTCTTATTTCACTTAGGGTAATACTCTCTAGGTCCCTCCATGTTCTTGCAAATGGTAAGATCTCCTTTTTTATGGCTAAGTAATATTCTGTTGTGTATATGTGTGTATACACACACCACACATCTTTATCCATTTAACTATTGACGGACACTTGGATTGCTTCCATATCTTGGCTATTGTAAATCATGCTGCAATAAACATGCTGCATATATCTTCTTGAATTAATGTTTTTGTTTTCTTTGGGTAAATATCGTTTTGGAAATACTGGATCATATGGTATTTCTATATTTGATTTTTTTTTTTAAACGTCCTTACTGTTTTCCACAGTGACTGCACCCATTTACATTCCTACCAACAGTGCAAGCAAGAGGGTTTCGTTTTCTTCACATCCTTGCCAAAACTTGTTACTTCTCTTTTTGATACTAGCCATCCTGACAAGTGTGAGGTAATATCTCATTGTGATTTTGATTTGCATTTCTTAGATGATTAGTGATGTTGAACATCTGTATGTCTTCTTCAGAGAAATGCATGTTCATGTCTTCTGCACATTTTCAAATTGTGTTTTTGGTGTTGTATAAATTCTTCATATATCTTGAATATTAATGCCTTATAATATAAATAATTTGCAAATATCTTCTCCCACTCAGGTTGCCTTTCTGTTTTGTTGGTTCCTTTACTGTGCAAAATTTTATTTTGGTATAGTCCCAGTAGTTTAATATTGCTTTTGTTTCCCTTTCCTGAGGAGACCTATCCATAAATCTGTTGCTAAGGGAAATATCCAAGACTGTACTGCCTGTTTTCCTCTAGACTTACGGTTTCAGGTTTCACATTTAGCTCTTTAATCCATTGAGTTTATTTTTGTGTATGATATAAGAAAGAAGTCCAGTTTTTCTTTTGAATGTGGCTATTCAGTTTTCCCAGCGTCATTTATTGAAGAGACTGCCTTTTCCCCATCGTATATTCTTGCCTTCTTTGTTATGACAAGATATATAGGCATGGGTTTATTTCTTGGCTCTCTATCCTGTTTCATTAACCTATATGTTTTGTTTTTTTTTTTTTTTTAAGTAGGCTCAATGCCCATTGTGGAGCCCGGTGCAGGGCTTGAACTCAGAACCCTGAGATCAAGACCTGAGTGGAGATCAAGATTTAGATGCTTAACCAGCTGAGCCACCCAGAGGCCCCCTATATGCCTAATTTTTTAAAAAGATTTATTTATTTTGGGGAGAGAGCAAGGGGATGGACAGTGGAAGAGGAAAAGTCTTAAGCAGACTCTGCACTGAGTGTGGAACCCAGTGTGGAGCTTGATCTCGTGACCCTGAGATCATGACTTGAGCCAAAACCAAGAGTCAGATGCTTAACCGACTGTGAAACCCAGGTGCCCCTTTATATGTCTGTTTTTGTGCCAGTAGTATACTATTTTGATTATGCCGGCTTAGTCGTCTATCTTGGAATATGCAGTTGTGATATCTCTAGCTGTGTTCTTTCTCAAGATTGCTTTGGCTATTTGTGGTCTTCTGTAATTTTTTCTTAAACCTTTTTTTTTTTTCTTTTAAGATTTTTATTTGACAGAGAGCACAAGCAGGGGGAAAAGCAGAGGGAGAGGGAGAAGCAGACTCCCCACTGAGCAGGGAGCCCGATGTGGGGCTGGGATCATGACCTGAGCTGCAGGCAGACGCTTAACCAACTGAGCCACCCAGGTGGCCCAGGTCTTTTGTGATTCTATACCAACTTTAGGATTATTTGTTCTAGGTCTATGAAAAATGCTATTGGTATTTTGATAGGAATTGCATTGAATCTGTAGTTTGCTTTGGGTAGTATGGACATTTTAATGACAGTCTTCCAATCCATGAGCATGGTATATCTTTCCATTTGCATCATCTTCAGTTTCTTTCATCAGTGTCTTATAGTTTTCAGAGTATAGGTCTTTCATCTCCATGGTTGTTTATTTTTAGGTATTTTATTAATGGGATTGTTGTTTTAATTTCTCTGCTACTTTGTTCTTAGTGTATAGAAATGCAACTGATTTCTGTGTTAATTTTGTATCCTGCAACTTTACTGAATTTGTTATTTTAGTTTTTTTTTTTTTTGGTGACATCTTTAGGATTTTTATGTATAGTATCATGTCATGTGCAGTGAGTTTAACTTCTTCCTTGCCAATTTGGAGGCTTCTTATTTCCTTGTCTGATTGATGGAACTAGAACTTCTAGTAACTATGTTGAATAAAGTGGGAGGAGTAGACATCTTGACTTGTTCCTGATCTTAGAAGAAAAGCTCTCAGTTTTTAATCATTGAGTATGTTGTTAGCTTTGGGCTTTTTTATATATAGCCTTTATTATGTTGAGGAGTATTCCCTCTAAACCCACTTTGTTGAGTTTTTATCATGAATAGATACTGAATTTTGTCAAATGCTTTTTCTTCATCTATTGATTTTTATACTTTATTTTGTTGATAATTGTGTATCACATTGATTTGCAAATATTGAATCACCCTCGCATCCCCATAATCAGTCCCACTTAATTGTGGGAAATATTACTGAATGTTGTTTGCTAATTTGTTGAGGATTTTTGCATGTAAGTTCATTATGGATGATAGCTTGTATTGGGGGGGTATTGTCTTTGTCTGGTTTTGATACTGGGGTAATGCTGGCCTCACAGAATGTATTTGGAAGCTTCCCTTCCTCTTCTATTTTTTTGGAAAAGATTGTTAGAATTCACCTGCAAATCCATCTGGTCCTGGACTTTTGTGGGATTTTTTAAATTATCAGTTCAACTTTTTTACTAATAATTAGCATATTCAGATTTTTTATTTTTTCCTGATTCAATTTTGGAAAGGTACATGTTTCTAGGAATTTATTCTGAGTTGTCCAGTTTGTTGGCATATAATTTTCATAAGTCTTATAATCTTTTGTATTTATGTAGATCAGTTATTATTTCTGCTGTTTTGTTTCTGATTTTATTTTGGTCCTGTCCTTTTTTCTTGATGAGCTTGGCTAAAGGTTTATTAATTTTATCTTTTCAAAGGACCAGCTCTTGGTTTCATTGATCTTTTCTATTGTTTTTAGTCTCAATTTATTTCTGCTTTGATCTTTATAATTTCCTTCCCTCTGCTAACCTTGTATCCTGCTGATTTTTAAGGTTCCCGAAGATAAGCCCTACTGGTTTTCAAAGCCAGATGTTATAGGGACTCATGTTCCCAGTGCAGATCCCCAGTGCCAGGAGTCTCTGGTGTGGGATGTGATCCCCTGGCTTCTCCATGCTTGTGGTGTCCCTCCATTTTGTGGTTAGTCTTACCAGGGCACCAACCACAACTCCACCCCTCCTACCCTTTTCCATGCGACCTTCTCTCTACAGTGCGCTCTGGAAGGTCTGTTCGGTCTGTAGGTTGTTTTCAGAGTTGTATAGATATATAGCTGTTACCTTGGGGTGTCTGTGGGATGAGGTGAGCTCAGGATCTTCCTATGCCACCACCCAGAGTTTCTTAGCATTCTTTTAAGTTCTGATGTTCCAAGGCCAGTTAAGTTGAGGAAATGTTGAGTAAAACCAGTTTCCTTATTGCAGAGCTTTTTAGAATCTCTGCTGTACTGATGTGTGTCTTGAAACTCCCAAGAAGAAACTCTATGCAGCATTCTTCAAATTCATTTGTCTCTTTGTGAGAAGGGGACAAGTAGTCGGGGATCCCATTTTAAAAAGCAGAAATTATTTCTCTGTAGGTATAACCAAGTATAAAATGGACAAAAGTTCAAGTCAGTTCGAGCTGCTATAACAGCCTTGCCAGTTGAATCATTCGGGTTTCTAGATCAACCTGTAGCTTCAGCTAAGGGATTCAGCACCTGTCATAACTGTCATTATAAAATTCAGAATATCCCTGAACTCTGTAGACATTTATGTATGCACATCCCTGTAGCAATATGAGTGGAAAGTTTCACAATTCCTTCTCTGTTCTTTAAACAGCATTTGCCATCTATCAGTCGCTGCCTTATTTTGAATCATTTGGCACTTACTCCACAAAGCTGCCCTTTGACTTATCCATCTATTTCCCATATGTGCTGAAAATATATCTCATGATGCTCTTTATAGGTAAGTGGCTTTGCTGGTTTGTTTTTGCATTCTTCCTGTGCTTTCCAGTTTGTGCTGCTATCTACTTTAACAGAAAGGTCTGTGAACATGGGAGAAACAGAGGAGGAAGCCCAGAATGATGAACTAAACCTTGTTAGTAAAGCACCTAGAAGTTATAATGCTTTCGGCAGGACATCACAAATTCAAATATATCACTGTTTCACTGTACAAACAAGAACAGGTTTACGAGCAGGTAATGTACCGGCATCGTGTAGGAAACAGGTACAGGGATCTACAGAGAAAACCTGGATGTCAAAGTAAGCAGGCTGGGCCATTTGTATCTATTTTGTTTCCTGTTTGTTTGGTTTTATATGCTAGCATTTCCCAGCAGGCACGTGGGAGTAGGTGCTAAAAACACAAGAAAAAATGTGTGGAACAAAAACTTAACAGTTAAGTTTAACTGGCAAAGGACTTCCGTGATTACATTTCACTTTCTGCAGCTCTGACCTTCACAAATTCCCAAAGGTAGTTGTTCTAGAACCAGTCATTATCAGACAAATAAGAACAATGCATAAGGGAGAAGACAGATGTGAAACTGCAGGGCTGATAGAGCTACCCTCAAGAAAGGGGAAAATTAATTCCTTGCCTTAAACAAAACTTTACTTCCCTTTCTGGACCCTTGTTTAAGAGTTCCTTTTTTTTGAGTCTCCCTTGCAAGTGTCTTGTCCTTAGACTCCAGGTAGCACTCTGTATTTTAAAACCAGAGAAATGGTTAATCAACCTTACTTTTGCCACTTCCTTCTCCATGTTAGGTATGTATTATACCTACAGTCATCTTTACTCAGAAAGAAGAGACATCCTCAGAGTCTTTCCCTTTAAAAAGAAGAAAATGTGAAGCACTGCATTCCGATGTGACATAAGAAAAAAATAGGCTTGTGGACTCAGCTGCAACAAACAACACAGGAAGCATTCTGGTGGGTGCTACTTGACACAACCCCATGACATAATGGTTCTCCTCAAGCTTGAGACAAATCACAGCAGTCTGTTAACCTCACATATTTTCAAAACGCATATCCTGCACAACCTACTTTACCAAAGCTGTGGGTTTTATAGAAGTTAAGTTTATATTGTGTGAAGCCTGATTATTTTCCTGTAAGGTGAATGAGAAATAGATTAACTGGAATGGATTCAATTAAATTGAGAAACCAAAGTTGTTAGCCAGAATTAATCTGTTTAACAGCATCTATTTCTTTTCACTTTGGAGTTTGTAAATAGCGACTCCACAGGAGGGCAAAAATGTGAAGTATGTTCTGCGGTTGTCTAGAATAACATTTTATAGGCAGTTGTCACCATGGCCAGAGTTCACTCCCATCTTACACATTAGACACGCTTAGAAAATTTTACATTAATACTGGACTTTGATGCCTTAAAAGAGAAGCCTGATGAAAACAGAATGGATCTTTAGTAAGTGTACAAATAATGCTCCATATTCCTTTTCTGGGGCAGGAGTTGAAATCAGACCATATACTTACCTTACAGGGAGACAAAAGGTAAAAAAAACTACAGTAAATTATTTTAAAGGAGGCAAGGCACTTAAGAACTAGTGATGTTTCAGATTATTACTGAATTATTATTGCTAATTATTATGTCACATAAGTCATCACCTAGACTTTTGAAAACTCTTTGAAGATTAAACTATAATTGACTAATATTATTTCTGTACCATTGGTATATATTCACTTTTCTTGAAAGAATTCTAGAATCTGGGGCACCTGGGTGGCTCAGTTAGTTAAGCATCTGCCTTCGGCTCAGGTCATGATCCCAGGGTCCTGGGATCGAGTCCACATCGGGCTCCCTGCTCAGCGAGAAGCCTGCTTCTCCCTCTCCCCCTGCTTGTGTTCCCTCTCTCGCTGTGTCTCCCTCTGTCAAATAAATAAAATCTTAAAAAAAAAAAAAGAATTCTAGAATCTTATTATCCAGTAACTATATAAAAAGGTTACTAAATATTTTATGACATAACAACCAGGTAGTAAAAATGTAGTTACCAAAAAAACTGGTTAGCTAAATATTTAAAAAGAAACAATTGAGTATTAATAAAGATAATTGATACCTTTTTAAATTCAGTATCCTATTTGGAATTTTAAAATATTAAAATTACCCTTTTAAAAAGCTATATTTTGAGGCGCCTGGGTGGCTCAGTCAGTTAAGCATCCGATTCTTGATTTTGGCTCAGGTTGTGAGTTCAAGCTGCACGTTGGGCTCCGTGCTTAGTGGGGAGTCTGCTGCTCTCCCTCTCCCCCTCTAAAAAAAAATAGGGTCGCCTGGGTGGCTCAGTTGGTTAAGCATCTGCCTTTGGTTCAGGTCATGATCTCAGGGGCCTGGGATTGAGCTCCGCATTGTGCTCCCTGCTCCGTAGGAAGTCTACTAGTCCCTCTCCCCGTCCCCTTTTCAAATAAAATCTTTTTAAAAAGCTACATTTTGGGCGCCTGGGTGGCTCAGTCGTTAAGCGTCTGCCTTCAGCTCAGGTTATGATCCCGGAGTCCTGGGATCGAGTCCCACATCGGGCTCCCTGCTCCGCGGGAAGCCTGCTTCTCCCTCTCCCACTCCCCCTGCTTGTGTTCCTGCTCTCGCTGTCTCTCTCTCTCTCTCTGTCAAATAAATAAATAAATAAATCTTTAAATAAAATAAAAAGCTACATTTTGTTTTTAAAGTTGCTTATTTTTACTTCTAAATTTAAAAAAATACTGAAAGCTTTAGTGTACAAAGAGAACAGAATCCCTTTGCAAACTTAGGTGACTCAGTCAAGCTTTCTCTCAATCAACAGGGCTCCTTAGATTGCTGAAGTATTATGTACATCTACAATCAATCACTAAAACTATCTTAGTGGGTCATTGTAAGAAATTAAAATTGTTATTAAATAATACTTTACCTTAAGAACCTGCCTACTTCTTAAAATAGACTAAAAAGCACAATTTATAGTTATGGATTGACAATTTGTTTTCTGCAACAAAGATCTGTGATTCCTTTGGTGACACAGTCACAACTTATTATTGTGGTTGGTGAAAGAAAATTAGAGGTTAAGTGGAAATAAGGATGTCATTTCTCTTCCACAAGTTCATGTTCCCCAGGTTAAGAAACTTAGACAAGTAAACATCTCCCTAATTAATTAATTGGATATTACCCAGATTGCAAGGTTGATTTCTTTGGCTGATTTCTTTACATCCATCAAATCTCTATTTCATTTTGTTCAGTGTTGTCATAGGCTTAGTTTCTTAAATCTAATAAATGTGGATGACATAGGAAACTATTAGATATCTTAAAAGCATAACAACACATAACTTTTAAAATGATCTTTCTTGGGCACCTGGGTGGTTCAGTCAGTCAGTTAAGCATCCAACTCTTGAGGCTCAGGTCGTGATCTCAGGGTTGTGAGATGGAGCTCTGTACTGGGTGTGGAGGCTGCTTAAGATTCTCTCTCCCTCTCTATAAAACAAGCAAAACCATAAAAAACAAAAAACAAACAACTTTCTTTGGAGTTTTCAATGCCAAGCTCCACTGCCTCAAGTTCCAAGTAACCCAAGCTAAGGTGTAATAATCAACATCAGCAGTGCCTCTGGGGCTAAAAAATAAATTAAGATTGGGGGGTTAAAACTGCTCTGAATGAAAACGACTTCAAAGAATTTATTTCATCACTCGGCAAAAGTCTGCCTAAAAAACACAACATACAGACACTGTAACATCATCAAAGTCCCTGGGCTTTTACTTTATCAAAATAGTCGAATGAAGAGCAGTAACACTTCTGCCAAAAGTATACGTTCGCTATTAATGCATTTTCCCTCCAGTGTGCTGCTCAAGAATCACACGCTTATCCTGGTCTTGTTTTTGTTCAATAAACAGGTTAACGTTAGAATGAGTTCTTAGTTGCGGCCCGCACGTCTACATTCAAACACTTATGTTGTGGGGCGCCTGGCACACTGTAGGCGCAAAATTATGAAACTTTACCAGGCTTCCTGCAAACAAACACATTTGTTACTAAAGAATGTACCGCATCTCCCCGAGGGTCCCTAAAAGAACCATTTTGTTTGTTTTAGGACACCTTACTCTGCCTACCTTGAGCAAGCTGTCACCTATAAGACTTTGTATTTCTTTCAAAAGGTGATGTAGCCATAACATCAGTATCCAAAATGTTTCCACAGAGAATCTTACATTTATGTACAAAGTTACATTTTACTGTGCTAAAGTATCAAAGTGATTTAAAATTAAAATATGCTATAAATGATTTCCCCTTTCCCTAACATCTTCCTCTCATTAGCTTATTTTTCCTTTGTAAACATGAGGTTTTTCCTCGTTCAGATAATTTTTACTTTCTACTTCTGGGTCTAGTTGCTGTGTTACCTTTGATATGGCACCTTTTCAAAGTATATTCCAGGGAACCACAGTCCTAGAACTAACAGGGTGCTACCTAGGACCCAGATTCGTGGGTTCCACTGGGACCCAGGAACCTGCATGTTGTCAGGCTCCTCAAATGCCCCTCTTGCACACTACAGTTTGAGTCTAAAGTATTTCAGCTTTGGACAGAAAACTGCTAATAAGAACTTGTATAAAAGCCACCATACAACTGGTGAGAACATGCCTAAATTCACCAAATAAACGTAGGTGTCCACTGTGTACTTACTTTGTGGTATTCAGCTGAGCCGCGGGATCCTGTGAGTGAGAACGTGGACTGGATGGAAGTAAGAGCAGTGGGTTTGATGTGAAATCCAGCTCCAGTGTTTACTAAGCGAATGACCCCGAGTTCCTTTCCTTAACTGCCCAGCGTCAGCGTAAAGAACAAATGCAGTGTGGTAAACTAAACCTTTCTAAATGATAAACAGCTACACAGAAGTAGGAAATTTGTAACACATTTCCTGGATGCGTTAAAATTATCTGACGGTTTATTGATTTATATTTTCTGAATGTAAGTTCTGTGAAGGCAGGAATGTCATGCCTTGTTCACTTTGTGCACACGGTACACACTCAAAATTTTGCAGCTCTGACTTTATAGACTACTACCGGTACCTCCAGAAAAAGACCTCTTTTAGGAAATCTATCAGATTAATTAGGTGATATCTCAGTTATATTTGATTATTCTCAAAGGGCACTTCATGTTTAGAAGACAGAAAAAGGTGTGGTTTTTTTTTTTAAGTTCTATAAGGATCCTTTCTTGATGCGCTACTTGCTTTTAGAATGTTTTAAGAACAATTTGTTAAATTTCCATTATCTTCCCAAGTCCCAACATACAGATTGTCAAGTGTTAAAGCTATTTTCAGTGAAACATATAAAAGTGATAACATTTCTATTACATTTTAGAATTTATAAAGCATATTTTTGTATTCTTTTATTCTCACAACTACTTTATGAGGTAAGCTATTCCTTGTATTCAAGAAATAAAACCAAAGTTAGGGAGTCATCCCTGTCATTTTTACTTAGTTTCATATCCAATAATTTAGCTAGAAATTATTTCACAAGTTCCTTATGTTTGACAAGAATCAGACTATCTACGTGGCAATTTTAAAGAATTCCATACTGTTTATGAAGATTAACACATTCCATGCACACCCACAACTTCATAATTACTATATATAGCATACATTTTTTAAAAAATGAGACTGAGAGTTTAGGATCAGAATAAAGAATTTCCTTCCAGAAAATATAAAAGCATATTACCTCATCCAGGACCAGAGTGATGATACATATTTATACATGAAGATGACGCCATGAGGTGTCTTTCTGCGAAGGTAGGATGGAGGATGTGACTTGTTCCAGCCACATCGTGTCCCCTGGTTCCAACTGAAATGCCTGCACCTAGTAATAGGCTTATTGGGGCATCTCATACAGACTGGTTCACCAGAGGCCCAGCCTATAGCTCTGGCTTCAGTGAAGTCCCCATCCTCCTAAGCACAAGATCTGATTTCCCTTCAAAAACGGTAATTTATGAAAATGTTTACCAGAGGTTTAAAACTGCTTATTTTCAAAGTTACTAAGTTATTTCAAGATAGTGGTTGAGTCCCTAACAAAGTCTTACTCCTTTTATAATTATAATATCACCATCTTTGGTTAAAATGATGTTAAGAACTTCTGACAATTAACTTCAAAAAAGGTTAACAGCCTTGTAGTTACCATGGAGTCATTACATGACGAAACACAAAGATAATTTTAGGGCC